AAAAGAGGGGGGATGCAAATCAAACCCTCACACACATATTAATTTAAAACAAGAGAAGAAAAAAAATTGAAAGATGAGTACTCAATCATTCATGTACATACATAAACAGAAACAAAATCAGAGAAGAAAGAGAAAAGTGGGGGCCCCACCCCCCTCCGGGCCAACCCGGCTGCGGCCGCAGCCGCAGACTCAGGGCCAAAGCTGCGACGCCACTGCCGAGCCCGAGGTCCCCGACCCCGGGGTCCACGCACCGACGACACCCAGGCCCGGGCCTCACCCCGAGCCCCCAGCGCGCGGATCCGCCCCGCCGTCGCTTCAGGCTCCTCACCCACCGCCGCCGCCGCCGCCGTCGCCGCCGCCGCCGCCGCCGCGCGAGGCGGGGACATGCAAATGAGCCAACGGTCTCCGCAGCGCCGCTCCGCGCAAGCGTCGCGCCGCTGCCGGGCCCCTGTGAGCAAGCGCGGGCCGCCGCCACCTCCCTCTTTTGCGCAGGCTCGCTGTCCGCTTCTTTGGGGCGGACGCTCCCCAAGAGAGAAGTCTCCCTGCTTGGGTCGGCGACGATAGCAAGCAGCCCGGGGAGGGCGGCAAAGTCTCTTCTGACGTGCACTGGGTGGCCTTTCGTTTTTACCTGCATTGGCGGTCACGCTTGGAGACCCCGGGAGCCGTCCGCGAAGCGGAGGAGGCCGCGCCGAGGAGGCGCTACGGCGCCTGCGTGTCTACGGCGGCCGGCAGGTGACAGCAGCGAGCCCCACCCGGCCCGCGTGGCCGCGAGCGCCTGGTGAGAGGCGGCGGCTGCCGCGCCCCGACGAGCGCGGAGTAGGGGCGTGGGCGTCGCGGGGTCGGGCCAGGGACGGTGGCGCGACCGTCGGGGACTGAGTTCTGCGGAGTGGAATCATCGAGCAGAAGCCGCCGGGAGACATACGTCCTCGCCTCCCCGGCCTCCGCTTCCTTTTCCTTCATTTTATTCATTCATTCAGCACCCGTGGGCTGAGTGCCGGCGGCGTGTCGGGCCCGGCCTAGACGGTGCGAGCGAGTGAATGCAGGAACGGTGTCCTCTAGATAACAGGTAATGCTGCGCAAGTCATAAAAGAAGGATGGGGCAGGAGAGCAGCGTGGCTTTGAAGGGTGTCCCTTGGGTAGTGGGGAAGGATGAGCAGAGGTGGGGGCGCGCGGGTGGGAAAGCCTACGTAGAGAAGGTGCTGGGAGGAGGCTGGGTTTTGTTTTGAGAGGATGGGGAAGCCGCCGCAGGTTTTGAGCGGGGGAGCGAGGTGGTGTCTGCGCTTTCCAGGCAACTACTGGCTGGCTTCTGTGTAGAGGACAGAGGCGCAGAGCATGGCAGGGAGGAGCAGGACGGTGCCTGAACCCGAGTGGGTGTGGCTGGTAGAGGGAGATGCCGAGTCATTCATGCTCCCTGGCGTGTCATGCGCCGTTTTCTCTTCTTTCTTTTTCTTTCTTTCTCTTTCCTTTCCTTTCCTTTCCTTTCTTTTTCTTTCTTTTTTTGAGTTGGAGTCTCACTCCGTTGCCCAGACTGAGTGCAGTGGCCACTCTAGCCACCGTAGCCTCCACCCGCTGGGCTCTGGCGAGCCTTCCGCCTCAGCCTTCCAAGTAGCCGGAACTACAGGCGCGCGCTACCAGGTAACCCGGCTAACTTTTGATTTATTGTAGAGACGAGGTCTCACCAAGTTGCCCGGGTAGGTCTCCAACCCGCAGGCTCAGGCAATCCACTCACCTAGGCCTCCCAAAGTGCTGGGATTATAGGTTAAGCCACCGAGCCCGGCCCTTTCTTTCTTTCTTTTCTTCCTTCTTTCTTTCTTTCTTCTTTCTTTTTTTTTTCTTTTTTTCAATTCTTTAGAGACAGGGTTTTCTTCTCTTGGCCAGGCTGGGGTGTGGTGGTGTGATCATAGTTCACTGCAGCCTCAAACTCCTCCATTCAGGCGTTTCTCCCATGTCAGCCTCCCGAGCAGCTGGGACTACAGGCACCTGCCACCGTGCCCAGATAATTTTTAAATTGTCTGTAGAGGCAAGGTCTTGCTGTGTTGTTCAGGCTAGTCTCAAACTCCTGGCCTCAAGCAATCCTTCTGCCTCAGGCTCCCAAAGTGCTGGAATTACAGGTGTGCACTACCACACCCAGCCAGCCACTGTTTTCTTGATGAGCAGAACTGTGGCTTAGAGAGGGAAATCAGCAGTCAGCTCAGGCTCCTGCTAACCCTCCTCTGTCTTATCCCCAGCACAACCGGAGACATCCTGGGGACTGGTAGTGCTCCTGGCCTAGGCTGTTCTCCACGTCCAACCCCACATACCATCTTTCCCGTGTGTTCCAGACCTGTACTTCCCTCCCTACCACCCAGCCTTGTGTCAGTTCTAGGGGACCCTGGAGGACTCAGCTCATGGGTGGTGCAGTGCTGGACTTCCCCACCCAGCAAGCTCAGAACTGGGCAAAGGGAAATTCATGGGAGGGGGAGCCTTGGCCAGAGAGCACGGGCTTTGTCTGAGTGGCCAGGGGAAGCGGCCTGGAAAGGCTCTGGAAGTTCCAGTGGGAGCTCTGCCGAGGAGCTAGGAGCAGGGACAGTGCTGTTAACCAAGGCCGATGCAGTGCCGGGGTCCTGCCCAGAGCCCTTATTGCCTGTATGAGCTCAGGGATTCAGATTTGTCATCTGTAAAGTAGGCGTAATGCTGTTCCCTCAAAGGACAGAGTTTGCCCCACCTCGATCTGAAGTGTGGTGAGGGAGATGGAAGTAATGTCACTGCCCTGGCACCAGCCCAGATGTTCCTACCCCTCAGACCTGGTCATGAAGCCCCTGCCCTCCGTCCTGGGCTCTCCTCTGAGAAACTGGTTCTTACTCTTCCTTCACCTTTAGCCTTGGAAATCCTTAGCCACCCTTAAGGGCCCCTTGTTCGTCTGGGGCAAGAAGGAGAGGGGCCAATCTGCAAAGGAGTGAGGTAGGGGCTTGATGCCCACCCCTCCATAAACTGACCCAGTTGCCTCTTAAGTAACAAAGGAAAGGAGCAAATAGCTAATGTTTATTGAGCTACTACTCTGTCCTGTTCTGAGGACTTGATAGGAGGTGGTTGAATTTTCTTTTTCTTTTTTGAGTCAGAACCTCACTGTTACCAGGCTGGAGTGCAGTGGCATGCTCGTGATCACTGCATCCTCCACCTGCTGGGCTCAGGTGATCCTTCCAACTCAGCCTTCCAAGTAGCTGGAACCACAGGCGCATGCCACCACACCCAGCTAATTTTTTTTTATTTATTGTAAAGACAAGGTCTCACCAAGTTGCCCAGGCTGGTCTGGAACCCATAGGCTCAGGCAGTCCTCTCGCCTCTGCCTCCCAAAGTGCTGGGATTACAGGCGTGAGCCTCTGTGCCCAGCTGGTTAACTTTTCACTACTGCCCTGGGAGGTAGATTCTGTGTTTAGCCCTGGTTCTCACGTGAGAGATTGAAAAGCAGTGCGTTTCAGTGAAGGGTGTGGGGTTTGAGTTCCACAGACGGGTCAGGGAGGCAGGCCTCCTCCCCACCAGGCAGAGTGCCATGCGTGGCAAGGTTTACATGGGCACAGATGGAATGCTCATATCCTGTGCCACCTCCTACAGAGAGAAGCGGGGGCCAGAATGGCCTGTTTCCCACATGGCCCAAATTTACCCTGGGACTTTGTATATCTAGAGATAGTGTCTTGCTATGTTGCCCAGGCACAATTGTGCAATGCATAATCACAGGCATGATCATAGCTTACTGCAGCCTGGAACTCCTGGGCTCAAATGATCCTCCCACCTCAACCTCCTCTTCAACCACTGGGATTTTTGCAAGATTACTCCTATACCATTGTCTCGGTGCCCCTGTGCCTTTTCCTCCACACACACTTTTTATGTGATGTGTGATTCTAGAATGAACTGGAGATCAGGGGAAAAAAACTCACATTATTTTAAAGAATGATATTAAGACAATTGAGAAAGTTGATCTTGGATTGTATGTTAGAAAGTAGTACTGGGTCAATGTTAAATTTCCTGTGATTGTATAAGACAGTGTCCTTTTCATGAGAGATTCATGATGTTGTCTTTAGAAGTAAAGGGGTCCAATACCTGGAACATATTCTCAAACGGTGTATGTACACACACACACACACACACACACACTCAAACATAGATAAATGCTGCAAAATAGTAACGGTAACACTCAGTGAATGATATACTGGTATTCCTTGTGACTTTACTATAAGTTTAAAAAATGATATGCTGGCTGGGCTCGGTGGCTCAGCCTGTAATCCCAGCACTTAGGAAGGCCAAGGCAGGAGGATTGCTGGATCCCAGGAGTTCAAGACCAGCCTGGGCAACATAGCGAGATTTTGTCTCTATAAAAAAAGTCAAAAAATTAACTATGTACGGTGACACACCTGTAGTCCCAGCCATTCAGGAGGCTGAGGCAGAAGGATCACCTGAGTTCAGGAAGTCAAGGCTGTAGTGAACTGTGATCATGCCTCTGCACTCGGCTAATTTTCTTTTCTTTTCTTTTCTTTTTTTGTCAAGGTCTCACTGTCACCCAGGCTGGATGGAGTGCAGTGGCACAATAGTGGCTCACTATAGCCTCGACTTCCTGGGCTCAGGTGATCCGTCCACCTCAGCCTTCCAAGTACCTGGGATTACAGGTGGCTGCTACCATGCCTGGCTAGTTTTTAAAATTTTTTTTTGTAGAGACGAAGTCTTGGTATGTTGCTCAGGCTGGTCTCAAACTTCTGGACCCAAGCTATCCTCCCACCTCAGCCTCCTCAAGTGCTAGGATTATAGGCATGAGCCACCACACCTGGCCTCAGCTAATTTATTTATTTAGTTTATAGAGACATGAATTCACTATGTTGCCCAGGCTAGTCTCTAACTCCTGGACTCAAGTGATCCTGCCTTCACCTCCCAAAGGCTGGTATTAGAAGCATGGCACTGCACCAGGCCAGAAACATTATTTCTTATTTTCTGTGTCTATAATCGTTTCAGAGCAACTTGTTTTTTTGTTTTTTCTCAATCGGGTCTCACTCTGTTGCCCAGGCTGGAGTGCAGTGGCACAATCACAGCTACCACAGCCTTGATCTGCTGGGCTCAGGAGATCCTTCCACTTTAGCCTTCCAAGTAGCTGGAACCAGAGGTGTGCACCACGACGCTCTGCTAATTTTTTGGTTTATTATAGAGACAGGGTTTCACCAGGTTGTCCACGCTGGTCTCAAACCCCTAGGCTCAGGCAATCTTCTCACCTTCATGTCCCAAAGTGCTGGGATTACAGGTGTGAGCCGCCATGCCCAGCCAGAGTAACATAACTAATATCATTACATTTGTGGTCCACCTTTCTTAGGCCAAATTTAGTAAACTGTATACTCTCTTTCTGCTTTTAGAAGCTCTAGGGGTGTTAGGATATCACCCTGTCCTTTGATCTAGGTGGTAATACTTTTTCTAGGGTGCTTATAGGGCTCTGATCCCTGGTAGACGCTCCCTAAGTGGCATCCTTTCATCCTTGCAGTGGCTGGACCCTGAGTTGCCTGCTGGTTCTGGGTAAAACTCTCTTCCCACCCTGTCTTCTAGCTCAGCAGTGTATGGTGGTTGCTTGCTGTCATCTGCACAGGCAAAGATGGCCTCCAAGCGAATCACCCAGGAAACCTTTGACACAGCCGTGCGTGAGAACATCGAGGAGTTTGCAATGGGGCCGGAGGAGGCGGTGAGAGAGGCCGTGGAGCAGTTTGAATCACAAGGTAGGGTGGCATCACCTGCCGTCCATGGCTCTTAGAGACCGAGCAATGCGAGGCTTGGAAGCCAGGTGCCAGCTGGGCCCTGTCTCCTCCCTGCTCTACCTCTGGGAAACTAGCCTACCTGCTGCCACCTCTGTCATGCCTGAACTTTCCATGCCACCCTCTCACCCAGATATCTAGAGGACTGGATCCTTCTTGTGGGTTTCATGTGAATTGTAAGTTCCTTTGAGAGGCTGTCCCTGTCCCCAGCCTGGGAAACTGGGCCACCTGCCTTCCTGTACCCCTGCTTGAGCTTACAGAGGCAGAAGGACTGCCAGCCTGTAGAAACAGGTGGCATGCCCAAATCAGGCTGTGGAGGAGCATGGTTATGAGAGGCTGTTTGTAATAGTCTGGGCAGGGTTAGGCGACCCCCTGCCATGGCAGGGACCCACCAGTTGAGAGCAGGAGCTCTGGGCAAGGCTTACCCGCCAGGCACCAGGTTCTCGGGTGGAGGCAGGTTCTCGGGTGGAACCCCATACTCCCTTCCTCCCACCTTAATCTCGAGTCCAGCTCTCCGTTGGACAGACCCAGAAGCCAGAGAGGAAGGGATTCCAATTCCAGCCCCAGAGGTCAGCCTCTTAGACACAGAGTGGGGTTTAGACGCTGCACAGGGGTTGCTGGGGCAACCAGAAGTGTCCGGCACAGTGGGGCCTTCCCGTGGGGGTTCCCACAGGGCCAGGAGAGGTGGATCCCTGAGGGAGAAGGCATGGGATCCCATCCTCTCTCCCACTTCCCTAGGTAGAATGTGCCATCTCACTTGCAGACATGGCATGCAATGGCAGCCTCGATCTGCAGTGGCCTCACTGCCGCTCTGCTCCCATTGGCTGACCCGGCACCTAGGGCAAAAACACCCCCAGTGCCCTCCACACCCCTCGTAGATGCAGCTGCTGGGCCTGGCATGGGTGGGGTAGGGCAGGGTAGGGTGGGGAGCTGGGAAGACCCTGGAAGGATTCTGGAGTGGGGTGGTCCCAGCATAAGGGCCCAGAGGTGTGACTGTGGTAGGCCCACGGGGATGCCAGCTGTCACTTGCTTTCTGACCCTCCCCCCCACAGGGGTCGATCTGAGCAACATTGTAAAGATGGTACCTAAAGTCTCTGTGGATGGACCCCAGGAGCCCACACACGACGTCCTACAGGTAGGACTGTAGGACTGGTCGTTTGTCACCTCTTAGCAGTCTGTCAGGGACAGCTGTTCCTTGTGTCTCAGGTGACGGAGCACAGACTGGAGATCAGAGATCTGCCCTGTATGTATGTACAAGAAGCCAGGTCTCCCGGAGTCCGCGTCTGGGGGCAGCGAGCCTTCTGGGTGTGAGCACTAAGCCCCTCAGGCAGCACACATACTGAGATCCGAGTGACTAGCACACTCTTGGTTGTCCCTGGTCCTGGGAGCCCCTCTGGCCTCCCAGAGACAGACATTACGGGAAGGGTGAGTGGGATCATCACAAGACTGCCACTTACTGAGCACTGACTGTTTTCTGGCACTTTACAGCTGGTCTGTTAGCACGTCAGCTTACCTGTGAGGTAGGGGGTGTCATTCCTGACTCAGTAATGGGAATATAGAGGCCGGGAGCTGAGACCCAGGCGGGGAAGGTGAAGCTCACAGGAGTTAACTGCTTTCCTTACAGTCACCATCACACTTGGAAAAACAGCAGAAGGCTCTAGTGCTTGCTGAGAACCGGCTGTGGGCCCTGTACTGTGCCAGATGCTTTCCTCCTGCCTGCTCAGTTGTTCTTCAACACTTGCAGACTGGAGTGCAGTGGCATGATCACGGCTCACCACAGCCTCGAACTTCTGGGCTCAGGTGATCCTCCTGCCTCAGCCTCCTGAGTAGCTGGGGCTACAGGCACGTGCCACCACGCTTGGCTAATTTTTTATTTTATTTTATTTTATTTTATTTTTTTGAGTTGGAGTCTCACTCTGTTGCCCAGACTGGCGTGCAGTGGCTGCTCCCGGCCTCCGCAGCCTTGACCTGCTGGGCTCCGGCGATCCTTCCGCCTCTGCCTTCCAAGTAGCTGGAACTACAGGTGCGTGCTATCACGCCCGGCTAATTTTTTGATTTATTGTAGAGATGAGGTCTCACCAAGTTGCCCAGGCGGGTCGCGAACCCACGGATTCAGGCAATTTACTTACCTCAGCCTCCCAAGGCGCAGGATTACAGGCTGAGCCACCGGGCCTGGTTGGCCAATTTTTTAAAAAATTATCTGTAGAGATAAGGTCTCACTGAGTTGCCCAGAGTGGTTTCAAACCCCTGGGCTCAAGTGATTCTCCCACCTCCGCCTCCCAAAGTGCTGGAATTACAGTTGAGAACCACTGCACCCAGCTGCTAAGTTCTTAAAATATGTTCTTTCAATCTGGGATTAAACTGGTTATGGTGGCTCACACCTGTAATCCCAGCACTTTAGAAGGTGGAGGCGAAAGGATTGCTTGAATCCAGGGGTTTAAGACCAGCCTGGGCAACTTGGTGAGACCTCGTCTCTACAATAAATCAAAAAAATTAGCCAGGCTTGGTGGCGCACACCTGTGGTTCCACCTACTTGGAAGGCTGAGACAGAAGGATCACCTGAGCCCAGCAGGTTGAGGCTGCAGTGGTTGTGATCATCCCTGCACTCCAGCCTGGACAACAAAGTGAGATTCTGACTCAAAAAAAAAATCTGGAATTAGCCCATTTCACTGATGAGAAGTCCAAGGCTTCGCAAGGATCAGTGACCCACCAAAGGTCATAGCCAATGGGAGGAGACCCAGATCCAGGTCCCAGGGAAGCCAAGCACTGAAGGGCTCTGCCATCTTCCACCACTGGTACTGGAAACTTCTTGTTTGTTTACAACCTTTGCTCTTCTTTTTCTTAATTGTTCTTTTCAACTCTTAATTTTTCACTATAGAAGAACTGAAATGCATTTTTGGCATAAAAGATTCACACAGTGCTCAAGTATTTATAGTAAAATGTGAAAGTCCTGCCCTGCCCTGCCCACCAAACACTGAGTTTTGCCTCCTCTCAGCAACTCACCAACCCCTTTCGAATGCCTGGCAGTACCATTGCCCTTTGTGTATCTTGGCTCAGCTGTATAGAAATTGCTTATTTTTTGAGGGAGGAAAAAATTCATCTTTGTGATGCTTGTTGAAATGAATCTGCTAGAGTTACAAGATTTGTTGCAAACAGACTTGTAGAAACAAAATCAAGATGAAGTGGAGCCAGACATGCTGGCTCATACCTGTAATCCCAGCACTTTGGGCGGCCAAAGCAGGATTGCTTGAGCCCAGGAGTTTGAGACTAGCCTGGGTAATATAGTGAGATATCAAAAAATTAGCTGGGCATGGTGGCATGCAATTGTAGTCCTAGCTATTAGGGAGGCTGAGGTAGGAGGATTGCCTAAGCCCAGGAGGTTGAGGCTACCAATAGTGAGCCGTGATAGTGTCACTGCACTCCCACCTGTGCCACAGAGTGAGATCCTAACTCAAAAAAAGATGAAATCTAAAAACTCTCCAAGAACAAAGTAAGCCAGCCACTTTTAGATGTGAGAGGGAAGCTGCAAAATACTACACGTCAGTCATTAAGAGAGTGAATGACCCCAGGGGTTGGTGGGCAGAGCCCCCACCGTGAGCAGGACAGTTGACACCACACAAAAGTGTCATAGGTAGAATGCTGCAGGCTCCGCTACCTCCATTTAGCAACCTTGCTAAATCCACAGAAATTTTAACTCCTGCACTGTGCCTCCTCAGTGGCACTTCTGTCACGAGCTTTTCAAGTTTCTTGTGGGGTTCCATCTAAAATGTTACACCACTTTTTTGTAAAATTTTATTATAAAATATGCATACAGGCAGGGCGCAATGGCTCACACTTGTAGTTTCAGCACTTTGGGAGGCTGAGGTGAGAGGATTGCCTGAGCCCAAGGATTTGAGACCAGCCTGGGCAACTTGGTGAGACCTCATCTCTACAATAAATAAAAAAAATTAGCCGGATGTGGTGGCATGTGCCTGTGGTTCCAGCTACTTAGAAGGCTGAGGCAGAAGGATCGCCTGAGCCTAGCAGGTTGAGGCTCTGGTGGCCATGAGCGTGCCACTGTACTCCAGCCTGGGTGACAGAGTGTGACTCCAACTCAAAAAAATTTGAAAAATAAATAAATATATAAAATGTGCATTCACCATCCTAACCATTTTTAAATGTACAGCTCATTGGCATTAAGTGCATCCATAGTGTTTGCAACTGTCACCCCATCCCTCCCCAGAGTGCTTTTCATCTTGCAAAACTGAAATTAACTCCCTGTTCCTGTTCCCTCAGCCCCTGACACCCACCATTCTACTTTTACCTCTATAAGTTGTAGTGCAGTGGCATGATTATGGCTCATTGCAGGCTCCACCTCTTAGGCTCAAGTAATCCTTCTACCTCAGCCTCCCAAGTAGCTGGAACGATACGTGTATCACCACATCTAGACAATTTTTTTTTTTTTAGAGACGGGGTCTTGCTTTGTTACCCAGGCTGGTATTTTTTTTAAAAATAAACTCCAAACCGTTTTCCACAGTGACTGCACCATTTTACATCTCCATTGTTGACAAAAAGCCAAACATTGTAAAATATTTAAACAGGTTTATTCTGAGCCAAATATGAGTGACCATGGCCTGGGGTACAGTCTCAGGAAGTTCTGAGAACATGTGTCCAAGGTGGTTAGGTGACAGCTTGGTTTTGTGCATTTCAGGGAGACAAAAGTTTATAGGCAAGGACATAAATCAATACATGTAAGGTATACATTGGCTTGGCCCAGAAAGATGGGCTATCTTGCAAGGAGATTCAAAGATTTTCTGATTGGCAATTGGTCAAATGAGTTCATCTCTGTCTAAAAAATTTGAAGTCAGCAGAAAGAAATGCTTGAGTTAAGATGAGGAAGGTTGTGGAAGCCAAGGTTTTTGTGTAAGTGAAGCCTCTGAGAAGCAGAGAGGGTAGGTGGTGAATGTCTTTTTTTTCTGAGTTGGCGTCTCACTCTGTCACCCAGAATGGAGTGCAGTGGCCACTCCTGGCCACCGTAGCCTCAACCTTCTGGGCTCCGTCGATCCTTCCGCCTCAGCCTTCTAAGCAGCTGGAACTACAGGCGCGCGCTACACACCTGGCTAATTTTTTGATTGATTGTAGAGATGAGGTCTCGCCAAGTTACCCACGCGGGTCTCGAACCCACGGGCTCAGGCAATCCACTCACCTCAGCCTCCCAATGGCACGGGATTACAGGCTGAGCCACCGAGCCCGGCCTGTGGTGAATGTCTTAAAAGGTGCCGGACTCCTCCTAGGGAAGGAGATTCTGGTTGTGTGTGTGTGTGTGTGTGTGTGTGTGTGTATGTCAGAGTCTCACTCTGTGCCGGCCTGTGGTGAATGTCTTAAAAGGTGCCAGACTCTTCCTAGGGAAGGAGATTCTGGTTGTGTGTGTGTGTGTGTGTGTGTGTGTGTGTGTGTGTGTATGTCAGAGTCTCACTCTGTTGCCCAGGCTGGAGTGCAGTGGCACGCTCATGGCTACCACAGCCTTGACCTGCTGGGCTCAGGTGATCCTTCTGCCTCAGCCTCCCTAGTGGTTGGAACCACTGGTGTGCACCACCAAGCCTGTCTGATTTTTTGATTTATTGTAGAGATGAAGTCTCACCATGTTGCTCAGGCAGGTCTTGAACCTCTGAGCTCAGGTAATCCTCTCGCCTCCACCTCCCAAAGTGCTGGGATTACAGGTGTGAGCCACTGCACCCGGTAGGAGATACAGATACAGATTTCCCCAGAAGACTGCTTTTAGGGCCCTTCCAAAGTATGTCTTGGGGTAAAGTATTTGTATTTCCTTTAGGGCCTGCTGTCATGTGATAATAATACCAGAGTCAGGTTGGGATTTGGTATCTTATTTCCAGAGCCTGTTTTATGATCTCTGTTGCTGGTCACTTGTGAGTTTCAGGAGGTGTGTCCAACCCCCTTTCCTGTCCTACCCTGGAAGTTAGTCCTTCTGGTTTCCCTTATCCCAGAGAGGATCCATTGGTTGTGGGGGGGCTCCGAATTTTTTGTTTTTTACCACCAATGGTGCATAAAGTTTCTGATTTATCCACATCCTCACCAACACTTGTTCTTTTCTGTTTTTTTATAGTAGCCAGCTTAATGGGTGTGAAATGGTATCTCACTGTACACATTAGTTGGGTTTTGTTTTTGTTTTTGAGACAGAGTGGGTACAGTGGAATGATCATAACTCACTGCAGCCTCAAACTCCTGGGCTCAAGTGATCTTCCCACCTTGGCCTTCTGAGTAGTTGGGACTACAGGTGCCGTGCCACCACACCCAGCTAATTTTATTTTTTGTGGAAATGGGGTCTTGCTAAAAGATTTGCATTTTCCTAATGATTAGTGATCTGCTTAGTGGCCATTTATATGTCTTTGGAGAGATGTCTATTTATATCACATGCACTGGTGTTAATTTATTTTTTAATATTTCTGCTGCAGTGTAGCATACCCTCAGTTAGATCCACAGATCTGAACTCAGTGAGGGTTGACCGACAGGCATCTCTGTCATGTCAGTGAATGCCAAATCAAAGTCTTTGGGGCCAGTGGCTTCTGAGAACTACCCTTACTGGGGCTGTTTGCCAATGATTTCATCAGCTCCAGGGTACAGATTCATCCTGGGCTCAAGCTGAGGCATGTCCTGAGGTCACGTAGTTGAATGGTAGCTAGACTGGTCCACCCTGTTCAAATTGTTTTCTCTCATTTTTTTCCCACAGGGTTGGAGCTGAATTTGGGTAAATAAACTGTAGTGTGGTTTCATTTGGCAGGTGCTCAGTAAATATTTGTGGAGTGAATGAGAGAGACAGAAAGGAGACATTCAGGGCCAGGCATAGTGACTTGTGTCTGTAATCCCAGCACTTTGGGAGGCTGAGGCGGGAGGATCACCACGAGCAGGTATGCTGATTAGTTATGGCTGTGTGACAGACAACCCAAAACAGCAGCCCCTTATTGTTTCTTATTGTTCTACCTGCTTGACTGAGCTCAACTGGGTGGTTCTTGTGCTGATCTACTTGGGGCCTCTTGATGGCAACTAGTCCGGGAATGTTCAACGTCTACACCTGTGTGCAGTACCTTGGTAGGATCACTGAAATGGTTGGGTCTCTCGCTTGTTCCCTCTCTGGGCTCCTGAAAGCACAGATGTGGGAGCTGCCAGGGTTGGAACTGGCCCCACACCACTTCCCCCACAGGCCCAGATTTCAGGAAAGGGAGACTCTGAAGGGTCCAGACGCCATTGCCGGGGCCTTGGGCTCTGTCCCTCGGCTGAGCTGACACTGAGGTTTCGCCCGTGTCTCCCAGGCCCTGGATGACCTGCAGAAGTCTGTGGCCTGCTCTTGCCTTCAGGAAGTATCCACACACCTCGCCCGCTTCTGCGACCAGTGCAAGGAGGTCAAGGCCTGCCGCTTCCTGGCGGCCCAGAAAGGGGCCTACCCCATCATTCTCGCCTCCTGGAAGCTGGCCGTCAAGGGGGATCAGGGCCTCCTGCTCCAGGCCCTCAGTGCCCTGTCGGTGCTGACTGATGGCCAGCCGGACCTCCTGGATGCCCAGGGCTTGCAGCTGCTGGTCGCCACACTGGCCCAGAATGCCGACACAGCCGATCTGACCTGCTCTGCAATCCGCTGTGTACGCCATGCCTGCCTGAAGCATGAACAGAATCGCCAGGACCTGGTGAAGGCCGGTGTGCTGCCCCTCTTGACCAGCGCCATCACCCGGCACGGCCGCCATGCCAGTGTGGTCAGGGAAGCCTGCTGGGCCCTGCGCGTCATAACCTTCGACGATGATATCCGTGTGCCTTTTGGCCATGCCCATGACCACGCCAAGATGATTGTGCTGGAGAACAGAGGCTTGAAGGTGCTCATTGAGGCCATCAAAGGTAGGAGGGAGCCAACGTGAGCAGGCAGGCTGTGGTTAGAGTGAGAGTTGACCAGGCTCAGTGGCTCAGCCTGTAATCCCAATACTTTAGGATGCCGAGTCAAGTGGATTGCCTGAACCTGCTGGTTCAAGACCAGCCAAGGCAACTTGGCGAGACCTCATCTCTGCAATAAAATAAAAACTTAGCCGGGCATGGTAGTGCTTGCCTATAGTTCCAGCTACTTGGAAGACTGGGGCAGAGGGATCGCCAGAGCCCAGCGGGTCGACGCTGGGGTGGCCATGAGCATACATAGTACTGCACTCCAGCCTGGGTGAAGGAATGAGACTCCAACTCAAAAAAAGAGTGAGAGTCAGAGCTTAGGACTGCTTCAGGCATCACTGGCTCCAGGTGCTGCTCTCAGCTCAGCCCCACCTACCTGGCTGCCTCAGTGGAAAAGTGTCCTCATGCTTCCTATTGGTTCCAGGAGAGTTGCCAGCCAGTGCTTACTGGTGGGGAGCAGGTTCCATGTTCATCTCTGGATGGGGCTCTGTGTAGGGAGGGGTCTTGCTGTGTCCACCTGTAGGGATTGACAGTGGAACAGAGGGAGTGCTCCGAAGGGAAATCGGAGGACTGGGCAGTCTGGCTGGCTTTCGCCAAGCGGTCTCGTGCTGGGTCACACTTTTGAGAGACACACATCTTCACGTATGTACATGTACCTGGTGCCATGATGACCATGGGAGGCCACAGTGCCAACCTTCAGACCCTAAAGCCTCTGTCCACACCCAGGAGTGAACTGCAGTTGTGCCAGGCAAGTCTGCAGTCCACAGGGTGGGCTGGAAGCTCCCAGGTTGTCCTTGCCTCAGTTTCCCATAAGGCCTTCAGCTAATTGAATGAGGCCCATCCTCATTACTCAGGGTCATCTTTTTGTGACCACAGGGACAGAATGCCTCCAGGACCATACCCAGGTTAGCACTGGGGGGAATCATGGGAACTGCAGTCCAGCCAGGCTGCCTGACTATGTACAGTGACAGACGTTGGCCCTCTCCGCCCTGGTGCCGTCGCTTGCTTCCTGGCCTGGTGCCTCTGAGCCTTGTCCCTGGCTGCTGTGTCCAGTTTTGCTTATGTCAGCTGCGTCCACATGTCCCTCTGTGGTTTCAGTTTCCTGTTGCACTTTTGAAAATCCATTCCCACCCCATGATCATAAAAATAATCTCAGATGTTTTATTTTAGTGCTATTACAGTTTTCTAATTTTAGGTGAGACCATCATTTGGTCTGGAATTTATGTGGGGCATGAGGGACAGGGAGAGATGATGGTCTCGTGTCTTCTCCAGAAGCCAGCAGGGGGCACTGCAGGCCTGGCAGCTCCTTGTTCTGGAGTCTTGCTGGCGTGGGTGGCCACCCTGTCAGGCAGAGCGGGCTGGACTCTCCCAGTGGGGCAGGATCTGCACCAAACCCAAGGGCTCCAGGGCTGGGTCTCCCCACCAGGCTCACACTGACTGTCAGCCTCCTCTTCCACAGCCTTCCTGGACAACCCCGGTGTCCTGAGTGAGCTCTGCTGCACCCTGTCCCGCCTGGCTGTCCGCAACGAGTTCTGCCAGGAAGTTGTCGACCTTGGAGGCCTAGACGTCCTGGTGACCCTGCTGGCCGACTCTCGTGACCACCAGGTGGGGCCCCAGAGCCACCTTTGGGTACAAGTCTTACCGGCCCTGTGCACTCTGCCCTGTTGGGTTCCATCCAGTCCATCCAGCCCTGTCTGCTGACCCCAGAACCAAAGTGCAGTTTTTCTTCTTACTGACCCACGGGCAGGAACCAAAATTTGATGGGAGGCCGGGCATGGTGGCTCACGCCTGTAATCCTAGCACTTTGGAAGGCCAAGGCAGGAAGATTGCTTGAGCCCAGGAGACCAGCCTGGGCAACATAGCAAGAACTCTTCTCTGTCTTTAAAAGAAAAAAAGTGTTTTAGCCGGGCTTGGTGGCTCAGCCTATAATCCCGCACTTTGCGAGGCCAAGGTGAGTGGATTGCCTGAGCCCGCGGGTTCGAGACCCGCCTGGGAAACTTGGCGAGACCTCATCTCTACGATAAATCAAAAAATTAGCCAGGCGTGGTAGCACGCACCTGTAGTTCCAACTGCTTGGAAGGCTGAGGCGGAAGGATCGCCGGAGCCCAGCAGGTCGAGGCTGTGGTGGCCGGAAGCGGCCACTGCACTCTAGTCTGGGCGACAGAGTGAGACTCCAACTCAAAAAATAAATAAATAAGCTGGGCTCGGTGGCTCAGCCTATAATCCCGCGCCTTTGGGAGGCTGAGGTGAGTGGATTGCCTGAGCCCGTGGCTTCGAGACCCGCCTGGGCAGCGAGACCTCATCTCTGCAATAAATCAAAAAATCAGCCGGGCGTGGTAGTGCGCGCCTGTAATTCCGGCTACTCGGAAGGCTGAGGCGGAAGGATCGCCGGAGCCCAGCAGGTCGAGGCTGCGGTGGCCGGGAACGGCCGCTGCACTCCAGTCTGGGCGACAGAGTGAGACTCCAACTCAAAAAATAAATAAATAAGCCGGGCTCGGTGGCTCAGCCTGTAATCCCGCGCCTTTGGGAGGCTGAGGTGAGTGGATTGCCTGAGCCCGCGGATTCGAGACCCGCCTGGGCAGCGAGACCTCATCTCTACAATAAATCAAAAAAATGAGCTGGGCGTGGTAGCGCGCGCCTGTAATTCCGGCTACTCGGAATGCTGAGGCGGAAGGATCGCTGGAGCCCAGCAGGTCGAGGCTGCGGTGGCCGGGAACGGCCGCTGCACTCCAGTCTGGGCGACAGAGTGAGACTCCAACTCAAAAACAAAAAAATAAAATAAAATTAAAATAAATAAATAAATAAATAAAAAGAAAATAAAAAAAATTTTTAAAGGAAAACAGTCCACCTATTGTCCTTTTGCACTGGATTGGGAGGAACAGGCCGGGGGGCTTGTCAGCAAGGGCTGGGATACGTGGGTGAGCCCCTCACTGCCTGTCCATGCCCCCCCTTTAGTTTCCCCACCTGTAGAGTAGGTTAGGTCCACTACTCATCATTACTTCAATTAAACAGCCACCGTCCACTTATCCACCCCTCTCCATGCACCTGACCCAGGGCAGGCAGCCAACATGTACCTGCCTGGGTATGGCTGCAGGAAAGGCCCCTGGGACCCTGTGGTCCTACTGCCCCAAACCCTGCCAGTGACAGCAGTCAGGGCCCTTCTGTGCAGGTGCCAGGGAGCTGAATTTGAACTGACCAGCAGATGAGGGAATACGTTTTGCTTGCTCTCCGGGACAGTTGGGGTGGCGCCTCAGTTGTGTGTGTGTCCCCCCCCGGCTCCATCCTGCCTCCACTGGGGCAGTCAGCAGTCCCAGCAGCACCCACTGGTTGTCCTCAGCTCAGGCTGGTCAGCACCCACTCTGGGCAAGAGCCCCGTGCTTTTATTGCTGGTCTGAGTCACGTGCCCCCTCTGTCCCTATGGGGTTGGGGATCAGGCTCCCCAAATGGCCTCCTCTGGACCCAGGCGCCCCGAGCCGTGGGCATCTGCCTCCCCTTCCTCCTCTGCACAGGGGATGCTCACCATGCAGTCATGCCGCACCTCTTGGTAAAACAGAACAGGCCAGGCCCGCCCTCTGGCTCCCCGTAACCCAGCAACCCCACATAGGAGGGGCTGGCTGGTTGACACCCCCGGCCCTCCTGCAGGACCTCGTGAAGCAAGTGCTGAGCGCCCTGCGAGCCATCGCGGGCAACGATGATGTGAAGGATGCCATTGTGCGTGCCGGCGGAACGGAGTCCATTGTGGCTGCCATGACCCAGCACCTGACCAGCCCCCAGGTACCCTCCTCAGGGCACAGGCCAGGTGTGGGTAGCGGCCCACTCAGTTTTAATGCCTGCTTGGAGCAATCACCTCGTTCAGGGCCAAGACAGGTGGGCAGGGCCTGGTGCTGGCTCTCAAATGCTCGCCCTGCGTGTGTGGCCCTGGGCGGCCTGGAGTTGTCACCAGCACCCGGCAAAGGTCTGAGCAAGACAGGTGCCCTCATCACCCCAAGAGCTTGGTGGATGTCTGCTGCGCTCTGCCATAGTGTCATCATGGATGAACTGGCAGAGGCCCACAGTGGGAGGTTATGGGGCCCCCACCAGGGGATGGCGGCCATGGTGGGATGCAGAGATTCCTGCTGGGTCTCACCCATGTTGGGATTGACCCCCACAGGTGTGTGAGCAGAGTTGTGCAGCCCTGTGTGTCCTGGCCTTGCGCAAACCTGACAACAGCCGGATCATCGTGGAGGGAGGCGGGGCCCTGGCAGCCCTGCGGGCCATGGAGGCGCACCCTCGGGAGGCTGGCGTGCAGGTGGGGAAGGTGGGGGACAGGCAGGCGGGGGTGGTCTCCCTGCCCCTGCCCCACCGTGATCATGCCTCACAGCTGCTTCTCTGTTCTCGTCTTCCATCCACCTGCCTTTCCTGCACTTACTCTTCCCCTTTCTTAACAGGCCCTTTGGGGGACTGGGGGAAGGACGGGGGACATGCAGAGGGGGCTCTGCCAGGGATTTTGGAAAGCTCCCTGTCCCTCCTGGTCTGCTGCTCTTAGTTCCAGGCACGGAACACTCCGTCCACATCTCGTTGGCTGGGTGCGCCCGTGGCCGGTTGCAGGCTCCTCCCCACAGCGTGTCCCAGGGCAGCACACCAGGCTGGGACCTCGGCATGCCTTTGCTCTACTGTCCCCACTCTGGATGCTGTCCCCTTGGCTGGCCGTCACCTAGGCCACTCCCAACCACCCTGGCCAGCAGCCCTTCACCCTCAAGGGCTTCTCACTGCTGTGCTGGTGGCGGGAGCCATACCGACACGCTCCGGGGCTGCATCCTGCACCCGCCACAGCAGACACAGGGCAGAAGGATCCATGAAGCGATGAATGGTGCGACTGGCAAATGGACCCCACGCACAACCACCCTCCTCCTGTGCCTCCCTGGCCCTTCCCCAGCCTCGGTCCTCAGGTCGCCACTGCCAACTGTGAGGCTGTCCCACATCCTACATTGGTCCTAGAGCTGCCCTGAGCCATTTCCCTGCCTGGGGAAGCGGTGTTAGCCCCGCCACCCAGGGCTGCTGTGAGAGCGAAGTGGAAGGACAGGCCTGGCCCACTGTGTGAAATAGGTGCCTGGGGAATGTTGGCCGAGGCACCATCGCCCCCATCTTGTTACAATGAGGAGCTGAGCACAGAGCAGACCCCACCCGAGGCCCCATCCGCCAGCTCATGGCTGCTGTCTCCTCCAGAAACAAGCCTGCATGCTGATCCGCAACCTGGTGGCCCGGAGCCAGGCCTTCTCAAAGCCCATCCTGGACCTGGGGGCCGAGGCGCTCATCACGCAGGCCCGAGCGACCCACCGTGACTGCGAGGACGTGGCCAAAGCCGCCCTGCGGGACCTGGGCTGCTGCGTCGAGCTCCGAGAGCTGTGGACAGGCCAGAAGGGTGACCTGGCACCGTGACCCCAGGCCCAGGTGGGCCATGACTCGGGTGAGTCATGTGACTCAGGAACAGAGAGACCCATGTCCTGCCACCTGCTCCCCCAGGCCTGTCCCCCACAGTGAGAGGTGTTTCCTGACAGGCCCTAGTAATGGCTGGGGGAGTGCTGACGGGGTGTCTGCAGGGCAGAGAGCATCCCCTGGGCCCCAGCCTTCCCTCGTCAGCTGGCAACATCGACATCACCGCTCTGCCCCTCCCCCATGCCTTCTCCACTCAGAAGGGGCAAAGGGCACATCCTGTCGCCCACTGCCCTTGGCAGCCACGTGGGCCGGTCTCAGCAGGGCCAGTGATCCCGCAGGCTTGGGACCCTGACACTTTCTCTTGCAAGTCCATGCAGGCCGCTGCTTCTCGTTTTTCTCATTGTAGAATGGGTCTCAGAGGTCTTGTCCCACAGCTTGTCTGTCTCCAAGTCCTGTGCCCACCGTGGTTCCTGGTAATAAAAGACCATCAGATGAATATCAGAGGGGTCTCGACATAGCTCAGCTGGCACGGGGACTGCAGCCAGTGGCCTCAGAGGATGGGAGGTTCAGATGTGGGGAGACCACAGGGTCGCTGAGGAGAGCAGAGGGCTTGGGAACAGCCTGGGGTCACCATCAGGATTGGGTACACGTGGGTAGACTGAGAGCCCAGCATGCAACCCCTCTCAGCTCTGTGACCCTGAGCAAGTGGGTTAACCTCTCTGAGCCCCTAGTGAATCCTCCTACATGAAGAGTGTGGCAGTGATCTGTCCCCTGTGAGGTGTTAGGGCACGTGGGGGTCCTGGTTATCTTAGCTCTGACCACAGGCTGGATGGCTTGGGCAGCCCACCTCCTCTCTCTGAGCCTCAGTTTCCCTATCTGTAGGGTGGGCATCATCATTGCTGCCCCGATGCCCTCCCGACCCTCGCGCATTCTGGAGATATGCTGTGGCACTGCAGACCCCAGCTTCCACTGTGAAGTCACTCTTACCAGTCACTGGGTAGCTTATATATCCATGTGGCCCAATTGGGGGTCAAAGCAGCCTCAGGACCCCTGGTAGGTGCCTGAACCTGCTTGTCCATGCCTCGGAGGCCTCTCCTCTCTTGGCCCTCCTGCCCTGCTGGTCATGCTCCTCCCCAAGCCTCAGGAGGGCCTGAGCTCAGTCCTTGACCTCAGCCGAAGTCCTTTCCCAGAAGGCCCTTGGGTTCTATGGAATTGGGCTGATGCAGATAACTGGGGGGCATCACCCTGGCTTTACCTCCCTGGAATGGCTCCATCTGCCCGCCCCAGCAGGGAGGGGCCCTGCCACCTCAGCAGGGCTGCATGAGCCTCTGACCCAGTCAGCCCTGCCCTGCCCTGCCCTGCCCTGCCCTCTCGACTGGGGACTCTCTAGAGTGTGGGAGAAAGAAGGCACGTCTGCCTCAGACCGCCCTGAGTTGGCTTCTGGGTCCGCCATGTGTGTGACCTTGGGCAGGCCTGTGACCTGGGGAAGTCCTCAGGCATTTGTCTGTCTGTCATATGGAGGGCGGTTGCTACTGAACTGTTTTTCTTTTCTTTCTTTATCTTTTTTGTTATCACCCAGGCTGGAGTCCAGTGGCATGATCACAGCTCACTGCAGCCTTGACCTCCTGGGCTCAAGCAGTCCTCCCACCTCAGCCTCCCAAGTAACTGGGACTACAGGCATATATCACCACGCCCAGATAATTTATTTTTATTTTTTGTAGAGACGTGTTATGCTATGTTACCCAGGCTGGTCTCAAACTCCCAGCCTCAAGTGATCCTTCTGCCTCGGCCTCTCAAAGTGCTGGGATTACAGTTGTGATCCCCTGCACCTGGGCCTTGGACTGTTTCCAGGGAAGCCTCTGTCTTTCCTGCCCCAGCCTTGCTCTCCATCTGCCCATGGCTCCCTGCTGCCTCCATATAAGACCGAACCCCATTTCATGCCCCACGGACCTGGCATGGCCCTTGCCCTGCCCACCTCCCAGACTCCTCTTCCCCACTGCCCCGAACTCGTTGTTCCAGCCGCACGGGCCTCCCCGCTTTAGGGCCTTTGCACAGCTGTGTCCCCTGCCGGAAGCACCCATCTCGCAGTGCTCCCCCATGGCTGGCTCCTCCCAGCACCAGGTTTCAGCTCACATGTTGCCTCCTCGGACGGCCCCCATCATGTCACCTGGTGTGCTGAGCCTTCGACCCCTGACCCTACTGGAGGTCACCTTGTTGGTGGGCACTCTTGTTGGTCTGCCATCTGCTAGCTCCCTGCGGGCAGGCTCCGGTCTGCCTGCTGGGCCCCAGCTTCCTGTAAATGTTTTTGAACAATGCGCACCTGAACAAACAGACAAGCTGGCCAGGCTCTGCCAGGCAGCCCCCGCGCCCTCCCAGGCTCCCAGCCAGCTGCTGGCTTCTTCAGGAAGGGGCGGTGCTGCCGTATCAGGTCTTCCCACCTTAGCCTAAGGAAACGGGTGTCTTCAGTGGGTGCAGCTCAACATGTTGGGACAGCCCTGGGCTGGATAGGGGCCCATGCCTGGCCAAAGCCCCCACATTTCACTGGGGTTGGCCTGGAGTTTCATCCCCGCCTGGCCACCTTGGGCCTGTTGGCCTCCTCATCTGAACACAGGCTGGGTCTGTCACTGGGCAGAGCCACAGCCCTCAGCGAGGCCCAGCTCAGAGGTGCCCAGCACACAGTGCCCCCTCCTCTGAGGATCACCTTCTCTGAGGAGCGCTTGCTATCTTTGCTGAAGACACTGAGGTGTGGGCTGAGGGGGAAACTGTAAGGATGGTGCAAGCATGTCCAGCCATGCCTCTGCTGCTGAGCGCTCTTGGTTAAGGGACCTGACCTCTCTGAGCCTCAGGGGGGTGAATGAGACCACCTTGATCGGCCCCAGTCAGGCTTGGCTTTGTCACTGTTGTGTTCAGGATGTCTTCCTCCAGCCAGGGATGGGCACGGGCTCCCGGGAAGGAACACAGTTGCCCTTCCATTGTGAACACGCATCTCAAGAGGCTGGGCTAGGAGCCACATGTGCCAGATGGGAAACAGACTTGCCCATATTCAGGAACTGCAGTGGGGTGAGACCCTTCCAGGCCTGCCTTCATGCCTCTCCTTTTGCCAATGCTGTGAACCTGATCTTGGGTAAACAGCTTCCTGGCCCCAGGTGATTAGGCTCTGACACTGCGCTCAGGCCTGGCTTGCAGCCTTCATGTCAGATGATTCCTGGGATCCTTGAGAGCAAACTGGAGGGCAGAGAGAAAGCATCCTGCCCAGGGCCAGCAAGGCTAGTTGCAGTGCCCATGGCAGGAGTGTTGGCAGCTGTTGCCAAGGTACATTGCCTGCCGTTGCTGGAAGGCAGTAGAAAGGCTGGCTGGCGCCTGTCTGCTGAAAACAAGCAGGAGCCAGGGTCCCACTAGTGCCTGTGGCACCACTGGGAGAGGCAGCCCAGTGCTGGGCTGCTGCCCGAACCTTGCCTCAGTTGGCAGTGTTCCGGGGGCACCGTGGGACCTTCCAGGAGCTCTATCACCACCCTCACAGGGCCTGGCATGTGGTACTGGAAGTAGGGGCTCCTCTGGCCTAGATATCTCCTCTTGGCATGCAGCCCACACCCATAGTTGTCTGTGTCTGAGAAGCATTCTTTACAGAAAAGGAAATGGGCCCAAAGAAGAACAGTGTCCTCATTGCCAGCATCCCACGAGTGCTCACTGTGAACTGAGCCCTTGGAAGTGTTTGGCTTCCATTTCATCAAATGCCCTGGGAGACAGCTGGGAAACCAAGGCAGGGACTTTGAGTCACTTGCTGAAGGTCCTGCGGTCAGTAAGTCAGAAGGAACAGGCATTTGAACCCAGCCCCAGGCCTCTGACCAAGGAGCATGCTCTGTGAGAGGCGGCTTTCTCACTTGCCAAGTGGCACCATACTGCCACCAGGAAGCAAGGTCATGGGAGAGTGCTAGGGAAAGGCCCGGTCCAGCACAGACCTGTCATCTGATCGGTGTGTGGCAGACCTCAGCTTCTCTTCTGGAGAGCAGGGTAGAGGGCAGGTCTTGTAAGTTGCAAGGAAGCAAGCCACAGGGGGGAGGCAGGGGCAATGAGGTCCAGGTGGCGATATGTATCATGGGAATATCAGGAGTCTGATGGTGGCCTTGGGTTAGTGACTTCCAAGGTCACATCCTCCCCCATTAGAAACGCTGTGTGTATCAAGCACTCGGCATGGGCTTGCACAGCCCGGAAATGTGAGCCTTTGTTAAGGTCTGTCTCAGCTTTGCTCCCGCCCCGGGTTCCCAGGCTCTGAACTTGATCTCCACCAACCCTAGCCTGCACCTAGTGGAAATAAGAGCTGGTATCTGGGAACATTTGTAATCCTCTCTGTCCTGAAGATTAAGGATAAGAGAACAGGGTGGGCTCAGGGGAGGTGCCTGTGACAGCCATGCCCAGGTCAGCAGGCGTGTCCCTCAACTGCTAGCATCTGTCTGCACAGCAGCCCTCATGAGCCGCACTTCACAGTGGAGCTAAGGCTCACAGGCTGGATGTGACCTGCTGAAGGTCAAATGCTTTCAGCAGAAGATTAAAGTGAGGGTAGGGATAGCAAGTCTCCCAGGTCAGCAGCCCCAGAGAGGAAAGCATCAGATGCAGGAATCATTTTGTCCCTTTTTCCAATTGAGGAAGCTGGGGCTCACAAGCACTTTGCCCAAGGTTGTGCAGTGGGCCAGTGACTGGACAGAAATTCAAACCCAGGTCATCCAGGCCTCTGGTGGCTGTTCTGACACTCCCTATCCAAAAAGCAGGCTGCTCTAACTTCATTCTCTGATTTATCAACTGAAGTGCTGTGTAAACTTGGGCAAGGAGCTTGGCCTCTCTGTGCTCTGGTTTCTGTAAATGCAGGCCAATGATTGCTTTGATCTCATGGAATTGTGGTTCGGATTCAGTTAATTCACAAAACATTTAGCAGGGAGGAGGTCCAACAGGGATGTCACTGGAGCCCATGAAGGGAAAGCTTGGACTCAGAAGTCAGACACTTCCAGAAAGTCACACAGCACTTCTTATTTTCACGTCTTCATACCAGCCCAAGACGCAGAGGACAGCTCTGAGAGTGACCTCCAGCCAGCCTCTCCTCTCCGAGTCGTTTGCAGGGGATTAGTGGGGAGTAAGGGGATGAATTATCAGGAGTCCTTCAGCCATGATGGTCCAAGTTCACAGCCGCTTCTGCGGCGGTGGCCAGAGGGCAAACTACATTAGAGCCTCAGGGGACCCTGCACCAGGCTTCCGAGGCCACCTCCGGCCTCCGCGGTCCCGGCCAAACTTCACCTTGCACGTTCCAACCCTCCCTAGGGGCGCCCCGCCCACGGCCGCTGCGACTGGCTTGGGGCCTGCCAGTCTTCGGCCTCACAGCCAATCCCCGTCTCCCTCCAGGCTACGCCCTCTGTCCCTCTCACTTCTGCCCTGCCAGTCGCGCCAACTTGCTCGTAGCCCCGCCTTTGGCCCCCAACGATTGGCCGGTAGGTCTGCCCGTTTTGTGCCAG